TACAATGCCGAGCACAGCTCGTCGGACAGTTTGTTGACACGCATACTCGGACCTTTATCAAGCTCGGGCATTGCTGCTCCTGCCCACTTCCAATTTGTTTGCTGTAGAGATGTGTAGAGCCCTGTTGGTGCTGCGCGCTACTGGGTGCAGCTGCCAGCAGCGGCAGGTCAGTTGCAGGCACTTGTGTGTCAACGCCACACAAGTCGGCCTGTTGTGCAAGTGGCACGACATCTTTGGAGCTGCCTCGGCTTCACAAACAAACAAGAGCCTTGACGACTTTCTCACTTGGAGCAGACTGGAACATCGAGCGATTTGCCGATCTGGCTCAAGCCCAGCTGTTCAGCTCCAAACTCGAAGCGGACGCGAACCTTCGCTGGTGCCTCGTGAGAGCTCCGACTGAGGCGGTGGCATTTTGCTGGTACAAAACCGAGGCTCGCAAGCATGAGCGCAGAGGCACAGAAAATTGACGCGCCTCGGCGACAGACGTTCTTTCTTTCTTTCGTCTTTGTTTCTTTACTCTCTCTCTTTCTTTCTTTCTTTCTTTCTCTTTCTCTCTCTCTCTCTCTCTCTCTCTCTCTCTCTCCATCCAGTTTCAAGCAAGCGCTTCTTTCACTGGGGCAACTTGAAGGCTGATGCAAAGGCCATGGCCATGCCGCCTGACGCCAAGAAGGACGTGAAGCCCGTCAAGGCAGGGCTGGCGGAGAGGCAATGCGCAGACGAGCGCGCGAAGAGCTTGAGGTCTCAAAGCCTCGCATTGATTGCATTGACGGCTGTCGGTTTGCCCTCGTCTTCCCCATCGTGGTCGCTCATTTCGCTAGGCAGGGCTTGAGCCCATAGGGCCAACGCAAGCCTGCAGACGCAACAGAGTTGACCAGGTTCGGAACGAAGAATCTGACGGCGCTGAAGCTGCTGACGCAGGAGAACGTGCTAGTTGGAGGCTTCTTCGTGATTTCCGGGTATGCCGCAGCCTCAGACCGTGTCTGCAAAGTCGGTCTCAGGATTATCCTGCAGTCGTTTTGGCCAAGATTTTCGATGGCAGGTGTCCGCGTACACTTCCACGAAGCTTGGCGAGCGCAAAGCGGAAGAGAAGAAGCTGGCCAACCCGGAGCTCTTCTTCTGGCAGAGGGTCCGCCTCCGGCAGAACACAGAATCTTGAAGTCTGTTGCTGACGAGCGACGCCGACAGGTCATGGCCTACTATCCTTTGCACTTCGTGATTTCTTGCCTCTTCGCCCCCATGTTCATCCAGGTTGAGAGGCCCGACGTGATTCCGTGAGATTGAACTTGGATTAGCTTCTGGGGCACTTGCCTGACATGCGCATTGTGTGTGCTCGTGCGAGTGCCAGCGGACGCGCAACATCGCGCAGTCGTGGGTGAGAGAGGTGGTTCAACA